ATATATGGCAAGATTGGAAAGCTTGTTTGTTTATAGAGTTGTTTTGAGTGGCTCGAGCGGACCGGTTTCATACTTAACTCCCTCTCTCGACTCTTCGAGTTATTTTTTCTCTTCCTGTTTCATTCTCTCGATCTAGGGTTTGTCGTGTGGCTGCATTGTGGTAGATTCTTCCTCCCATTCATCATCCTACCCACTGTTTTGCTCTTTGGTAAGTTTTACCCTCTTTTCTTTTCACTATTTTTTGTTCTATTTGGTTCTAATGGTGGTTGGGTTTGTAGTTTTGTGGGGTTTTGTGTAGAGAGTGAATGAAACTTTCTCTCACACACTTTTTTCACGACTTGTTCACTGAAAATGAATTGACCTCTCATGGTATACTTGTGTGGGTCTCGTTAACTTGTATTTTTTTTTAGTATGATTAGAAATTATGTTTTTTTTTAAATATGATGTGATTATTAATCATGTTATTAACTTAACGCATAACTCTATTTGAATTATAATTTTTTTAACTTAACGCATAACACTATATGAACTACAAATTTTTTTTTTAAGTGCTTACATTCAAATAAAAGCCGTAATTTGTAATAGCATTTGGGGTTAATTTTTTTGATAACTTTTTTGTTGATTTTTTTTGTTTTTTTTTTTTCATTTTTAATACTGTTTTTTTAAAATAAAAAAATTACACATTTGCGCTCTACTCGATTAGATGGACCCAAAAAATAAAAATAAAAAATTACAAATTTGAAAAAATGTCTAGAAAGGACAAAAAAAAATGTCTTTCTTTGGCTGTAGTATAGTGAACATTTTTTTTTTGTACCTTTTAGATTCAGCTATACAAGGTAGATCTAAAAAGTAAACAAAAATTAGACATACAATTTTAAAAAAACTGAAAAATAAAATAAAAAATAAAATATAATTTTTTAACTATATGCCAAACTTATTATAAGTCACTTAATATACAAATTATAATATGTGATTGTTATTGGAATTTATCAAAGGATGTAATGGGCATTTTGTTTATTTATTTTGGATGACGTGAAATGAACGCCACTTACACAAACAATCATGCATATAGTTCTGAAAAACAATAAAATTTACCAATCATTTTTATATTATCTTATAATATGTGATTGTTATTGTTAAAGTATACAAAGAATACACTATAAAGCGCACACACACCAGCAAGTATACAACGAATACACTGTAAAGCGCACACACACACCAGCACACACCCACTAGCATCACATGTTCGGATCACACTGTAAAGCACACACCAGCACACACCCACTAGCACACCCCAGCACACAAAGAAAGCTTTAGCAATAGTTTAATGTACCTTCTCCTCTCTATAAATAGAGAGAGCCTAGTCTCTTGTAAAATATAGACATACATACTGAATACATCAAAAATATAGAGCTAATATTTGCTCTCTCAATCTCTCTCAATTTCTTTTATGGTATCAGAGCCAAGTTTTCACCACACCAGAGCCTTCGTCTCCTCCGGACGATTCCAACGCCACCAATTTCAGCCCAATACGATGTCACACACGCTCTCACGCGCCACTTCTGTGACCGGCGCGTCGCCTGCTTCCGCCTTCCGCCTCACACGCGCTCCACGCGTCCTCCACACTGTCCCGTGCTAACGTGCGCCGCGCACTACCTTGCTAACGTGCGCCGCGTGTTTCTGACGTCAGCCCTCTCTGCTACCGTGCACTGCCTGGCCTGTTTTGCTAACGTGCGCCGCGCCTTTCTTGCTAACGTGCGCCGCGCCCCTTTGTCCCTCATTTCTGTGCCTCTGTGGTCATATTTTGGGTCGTTTTCACTCCTTTTTCCACTAATTTCGGCCTTCTGAATTCACTGGTAACCTCGGTTTTTTCAGATTCTACCTCCATTGTGCTCATGGATCGCCCGGATTCCTCTAATCACCCTATTTCCGTGATTCTTGACGGGACTAATTATGTCCTTTGGGCACAAGCCATGTCTGGCTTCCTCAAAGGCAAGAAACTTTGGCGTATCATTACTGGGGATGTATGCAAACCAGTCCCAGCAACCACGGAATCCGCTGCCACGGACTCCGCTGCCAAATATATCGACCAACTAGAAGATTGGGATAGTAAAAACTATCAGATCATCACCTGGCTTCGCAATACTTCTATTACATCCATCAGCCTTCAGTTTGGTAGGTTCCAACTTGAGTCTGCTTCCTCTCCAGCCAAGGCCATCTGGGATTTTTTGCAAGAACGCTATCAGACTACCGGTCTTGCTCACCAATATCAACTTCTGAGTCATCTTCACCGTATGCGCCAAGAAAACACTCAGACCATTAATGATTTCCTCTCCCAAATGTATTATGTTTGGGATCAACTCGCTCTTTCTGAGCCTCCATGGCCTCATACTGAGGATGCTTCAATCACACAATAGTACATAAAAGAACAAACAGGTACATGGAAAACACAAATCATAGAATATTGGTGATTCAGAGGGATGCCTACCGTCTACCACAAGGAAAATATCAAAATTCACTATACACAATAAAAAGATAACAAGAACGACTCTGCATTTTTTATTTTTTATTTGGTAAAAGATTAGCACCTCTCTAGTCCAAATGATTTGGGGATTGAATCATCTAGTTGGGTCCGTGAGACACGGATCTAATTTCGATAATTCAATTGTAAATTTCAATGCGTAGATCATTCATAAAATAAAATAAGTTTTTCTTTTCTTTTTTCAAAAAAATGAATCATAAAAATAATTTTAAAAGTAAACTATATATTTTTAAATACAAAAAAAAAATTTAAAAAAATGATAAGAATTATTGAATTCATACAATTTAAACATAGGAAGATCGTAACATGTTAGTTGAGGTCCTTTAGGGGCCCAACTGGACAATCCAATCAACAAATTTTAGATTGGAGAAGGCCATCCGAAAATAAAAATATATATCATCAAATCCTCAGACCCCACAAAGAGGTCTAGTGAATCTCTTGGGTCACCTCCACCTCTGTAAAAGGCTCCTTATAGTACTAGCAGTATATAATACAATAAATACAAAATATCTCACAAATAATACCGGTGTTCAGGCGATCGCCGGTAATTCACGGACACCACGACGGCCTTGCAAAGGCCGACAAGGCGGCGGCAGAAGGTGTCGTAGATGGCGGTGTCGGCGGAGGAGTGAGTGAAGCTTCCACCGTGGAAGAAGATGATTACGGGGACGATTTCATCGGTGCTCAATGGGTTTAAGAGTTCTACGACGCCAAATTGAGATTCATTTTCCGGTGATGGCCTGTAAATTCGGTTGAGAAGGCCGACTGATCGATCGATGATCACGTCGAAAGAGTATACGCCGGCGACTGGGATTGCATTGGCGGCGACTTTCCGGTCGAGAAACTCCGCCAGGTCACGGTTGATTGTGCCGTCGGCACGGCGGAGCATGCTGTAAGCAACCTTGAAATTTGATATGAGAATCCATGTATTCAATGGAACCACACTCTGTAATGAAAACCCAGAAAAACTTAAAACAGAGCATTGAAAATTAACTCAAAATCATTCAAATTTCACAGCAATTCAAGTTTTTAGAACAGAGAATTGAAAACCCATACAATGAAACTGAAAGACAATCAAGTCAAAGAAACAGGGGATAAGTCAAAATCACTATAATCAAAGTAAAAATTTCCAATTTTTTGAAATCAAAAGAGACATTTGATTAAAACCCAATAAATATATGGAAGAACTGGGAAAGAGGGAAGAGATTGAGGAGAAGAGGACCTTGGATTCGTTGGTGATGATTTCATTCCTAGCGGCCATTGATGAGTGTTGGAAACGAGATTTAAAGCTTTGGGAAGGTCAGAAATTAAGTGTGATGTTGAGGAAGATGAAGCTTTGAGTTGAGAGGGACATAAAGATTCCAAGAAGTGAAGGTCTGCGCGATGGTGGTCGTTTTGGAAATTCCTTGTTTTTGAGTTTGGGAACAAGAAGAGACAGCTCTGAAATATAAAAACAGAGGGTTTATTAGACACGCACAGAAAGATCAAAGGTTGTTGAGAGAGAGATAGAGAGAAGTGAATGATGGCGTGAAGGGGAAGAGAACAAACAAGAGAGAGAGTCAAAAGCAAATAAGGAAAGAGGCAGGTGGACGAAAGACGAGAGAGACGACAAACGGTGGGTCCCACCATTAGTAGTAAAACTCCAATTCTGGGTCTGGCTGTTAAAACAAATTGCTATTTTCAAGTCTGAAAAATATATATTAATAAATTAATTGATATTTTCATTAATTTTATTCCATGTATCTTCGATGGCGTCGGTTGGAGAATTGGTTATTTTAATCGATTTTTTAATTTTTTTTGATTATTTTAACTTAGTTAAAAAGTTGTGTCTAAGGAGTTTATTAATTTTTTTAATTGATTTAATAATTATGGTAGAAAAAATAAAATAATTTTAATTTTAATATGACATTTTATTTTATTAATTTTTTAATATATTTTATTTTTTTATGACTATTTTAATTTGATAATCCATGGCAAAAGAGTATACTGTAACAAAAGATCGAAACTAGGAGAAGGTGACGCATCTCTCCAAATTTTACCCTCTTTTCAGTGGGAAATTACACAGAGAACTCTCAATCTTTTTCCTTTTCAGTTTGTTTGACCTCCCTCCTTCCCTTTAATCATTCCATTTGCCTTTTTTATTTTTTTATTTTTTTTTAACATATGGATCATTTATCAAAAAATTAAATAACATACATAGAAAATAATATACATTTATTTATAATTTTTATATTCATTTCATACAATAATGATATTTTCATATTTAAAAAGGTGAATTATTTGAATAACACACCGGCTTCATTTGGGAAGTGTATTAATTTTTTGATTATTTTAGCATAGGACTAAAAAGTTTTTTTTTTAGCAAGCTAAAAAGTCTTGTTTGGATTGAATTTTTTGATTTTCTTTTACTTTTGTAATGAAAAAACTAAAATAATTATGATTTAAATATTATATTTTATCTTATTAATTTTTTTAATTTATTTTATCTTTTAATGACTAATTTATCCTCAACTTTTTTGCTAAACAAAGCCAAGAGAGAGAATGGTATTGTGTGGGTCTCGTTAACTTGTAAAAAAAAAATTAGTGTGGTTCGAAATTATGTTTTTTTTAAAACAATAATGTGATTATCAATTATGTTTTTAACTTAACACATAATACTATTTGAACTACAATTTTTTTTTTTTTTCGAAGTGTTTACATTCAAATAAAAACCGCAATTTGTAATACCATTTGGGGTTAATTTTTTTAATGGCTTTTTTGTTAAGTTTTTTATTTTTATTTTTAATACTCTTTTTTTTTAATGACATTTTTTTCATTTTTAATACTTCTTTTTTTCTTTTTCTTTTTTTTTTTGACCTTTTAGATTCGTCTATACAAAGTAGGTCTAAAAAGTAAACAAAAATTAGACATATAATTTAAATAAAAAATAAATATAACTTTTTAACTATATGCCAAACTTATTATATATCTATTCATATACAAATTATAATATGTGATTGCTATTGGAATTTATCAAAGGATGAAATCGACATTTTGAGTTATTTTGGAAAGATAGTTAAAAATTAACTTTTTTACTTTTTTTTAACTTTTTTTTTTAAAAAAATGTGTAAAAAATGTGAGATAACATGACCTAAAATGGATTCAAAGCTGAAAGATAACTTTTAACTATCTTTTTAAAATAGACCTTTATTATTTATTTTGGATGACGTTGAATGAACGTCACTTACACACAATCATGCATATAGTTCTAAAAAACAATCACTCGGTTTGGTTTTCATTTTCAAAATTCACTTTTAAAAAAATTTTACTTTTTCGTTTTCTATATTTTTTTACTTTCACTGAATTTTTTAATATTTTAAGTAATTTTTTAAAATTTTTAGACACACTTAGCATAAATACACTTAAAAAGTATAATATTTGTGGGAAAAAAAATTAAATTCACTAAATACCAAAAATACAAAAAAAAATTACAAAAATTCAATATATTTTTGTATTTTTTGTGTATTTATTAATTTTTTACAATATTTTTTTTATAAATATTTTACTATTTAGATACATCAAGGTGCATATAAAAAAGTAAAAAAATTAAGCTTTAGCAATAGTTTAATGTACCTTCTCCTCTCTATAAATAGAGAGAGCCCAGTCTCTTGTAAAATATAGACATACATACTGAATACATCAAAAATATAGAGCTAGTATTTGCTCTCTTAATCTCTCTCAATTTCTTTTAGTTATTATTGAGATTTATCAAATGGTGATATAGACCTTTGTTATTTTTGTTTTTTTGATGGGGTGACATGGACGTTATTTACACAAACAATCACGTATACAGCTCTGAAAAACAATAAAAACATACTAATCGTTTATACATTATCTTGTGAAGTCATTTAGTATTATTTCATCTTAAAAAAAGTCAATTGAGTATTAAAAAGAACAGCAATTTAATAATTCCCTTGGCTGTAATAAAAAAGAATAAAAAATTTCTAACATTCTTCAAAGAAACTCAAGGTGAATATTAATTATGATTGAACAATGCTATATACACTTAATTTATACATAGAAAAGTACTTAAGAAATATGTAATTTAGATTCTTTTATGATGTGATGTAATAATATGAATTTCACCATATAAAACATATATAGAAATCTTAAAAATGATTAAGAAAATCACGAGTAATATCATGATTTGTTTGTTACCTCTAACATCTTAGTAACATTACTTGTTCCGAAGATCTTGTGGACACAGGCAAATCTCTTTGGATTATTAGCGGGAAAATACGGTGCCAAAATGCAATCTTGAGAACATTTTCTTTTTAGAGATTTGCAAGCTGCACACCTATCAAATTAGACATTGCTCGGATTTGCTAGAATCTATGAAAGATTTTCTCCAAATTCTCTAGAATCAAATTTATATACTAAATGATTTTGTTAGGATTGTTATGTTTTTGAATATCAAAGTGATCTTTATATGAAATTTGCATAGAATTGAAAGAGTTCTAATTTTAGAAGGTGATAACGGCTAGATTTTTTTAAAAATTGGTTAAGCAAAAGGAATGAATTTAGAAGAATGGAAGCATAAGAATGTTTCCTTGTTTAAATAATTTAGGTCAATAATCTTCTTTTTCTTTTATTTTTTCTTTTTAAAAAAGACTTTTTGAATTTTTATCAAAAAAATGGTACAAAAAATAGAGAAAATAGAAAAGAAAGTACTATGTACGTAGAAAGGTCAATACTCTTCTTTTTCTTTTATTTTTTGTATGACTTTTTGATGCCGTAAATTTTTAACTTTATTAGCTATTTGCATTATGCTTGTGAGTACTATGTAAACTGAAAGTACTGTTTGAGTATGTAGGCTCTATCAAGAGTTTTAGTTTGATAATATGAGCCGTTAATTTTATAGATTATTGTTTTTAAATCATCCATTAAAAAAATCATAATGTTTTGATATTCATAGTCATATATATGATCATATTTGTCGTAAAAAAATAAATGATTTATTTTTAAAATTATAGTTGTCATTCGGATCAATCTAATTTTTTTCATGAATAATCTATTTAAAAAAATCTTACAAAATAAATAATTCAAATCATTAAAATAGAAATTGTGGTGAGCCCCCCAAGGACCGATAAAATATCCTCCAAAAAAGCATCCTATCCCTTTCTAATTTACATGCGAAAAATGATTTAATTGGAATTGGTGTAACCCCAACCTTAATGATAATTAATGAAGGCATTCACCATTTAATGGCTTAGCCGTACAACATGAGTATTAATTAAGTTACAGAAAAACTACAAATGTCCAAATAAAATGTATAATGTAAACCGTTGTGGATGGAGTTTTTATAATTAGTTAACATTTTTGTTTTAAGTTAATGGACTATGCTTCTAATGTTCATTAACCAGTCCGCAAAGAGAATCAGTCATCATGAGAATGCAACATAAGGTTGTGAATTTTGAGCCCAATTTTATAGGGATAAGTTATCATTCATAACTCATCTATTTATATCTTTTTATATTTTTTTTTATGGATTTCAATTTGAATTTGCACTGATGATCCAAGTCGTCTATTTCTTAGGTCTCGCAATAAAAGTCATCCATACAAAAAATTAATTTCATTAGATAATTATAAACACGAAAACAATTGCATTTTATTTTAAAAAATATATGGTCAATAGGAGCTATAGTGAGCATGAGTTCAACTTGAGTACTAAGCAACTAAAGAATCTTACAAGTTGGAAAAGAGGAGAGGCATCTCCTCCACCAAGTTCAAGTCTTGAAGGACAAAAACAAAAAACAAAGAGAAGATATGAAAAAAAAAAGGGCATCTTTCTTCTTTTCAAGATCAGTGTGAGGCATCTTTGCAAACACTAAAAAGCCCCCAAAAAAATTTCAGCATTGCTTGTGCCAAATGTAACAAATACATCTTGAATATGTAGTCAATATAATCCACATATTAATTAAGTTTTTATAATCAACTTTAGAGAGAAAAAAATGTTGACATTGTTGTTAAATGTTAAGTTTCTAACATATCTGACTGTTTGGGGGTCAAATGATAAAAATGTCTTCTTATCTAGAACATTCTAGTATGTCTTGTATTTGTTTAATTCAATACAAACATGGATGAAATAAAAAAGAAAGAAAAATACATGAGACCTTCATCTTTTTGTTTTGTTTTTTTTTTTAATTATGATTTGAGCATGTGAGGTCCTTATCGACACCATTTTTAGGGTTATAGATTTTTATTTTATTTATTTATTTTTATTTTTATTTTTTGTTGTGAGTTTTATCCATCATTAAGGGCATTTGCTTAATGGAACTGTATATTTATAAGAGGTCCTAAAAATTCAGAGATGTGGGAAGGATGTTAAGTTTCTAACATATCTGACTGTTTGGGGGTCAAATGATAAAAATGTCTTCTTATCTAGAACATTCTAGTATGTCTTGTATTTATTTAATTCAATACAAACATGGATGAAATAAAAAAGAAAGAAAAATACATGAAACCTTCATCTTTTTGTTTTTTTTTTTTAATTATGATTTGAGCA